ACACACACACACACACACACACATATATATACATACATACATACATACATACATACAGTATAGGTGCAGAAATTGATTAATGTACATTATGACTGATATTCACATAATGACTGCAGTAAAAATCTGGTAAATGACTGCAGTAAAAATAATAGAGAAAAAGCCAGAATATTTATAATTTTTTCATTCATATTAATTCTGAAACACTGCTACTCTGAAATTATTTATGTCTTATGAATCTAACCTTTGACAAATGAGAGATCTATCCAACCCAACATTGTTTTTCCATAAAGTTCAATTAAAAAGACACACTGTCTTTAATTCTAGAGATAATATATGGGATAAACAGGACTGTTCTTAAAACACATTGCCTCCTCTGACAGTGCCTGCAGGAGTAGTTCAAAAAAGAACAGGACTGTGGAAATAAGCAGTGAGGTTCCAACCATCATGATGACATCCATAATTTCCGCAACCTACTAAGTCCACACTTCCCTACAGCAGCATGAAAGTGAACTCGTCTGATGCATTTTTTGATGGGGCTGTTTCTGATTGAAAAAATATAAGACTTAACAATCTTACTATTTCAGAGAAGCAATTTTGAACAATGCTGTAAATTTTACTAATGTTATTAATAATCACTATCTGTCCCTTTCAGAGAAGATGAGAAAGTTTCTACCCATAACAATCATTTAAGGATTTACCTTTCACTGACTGCTATGACATCCAGAACATTGGAGAAGAGTATGTGAGCCTCTGAAGGATGCAAAATCTTTTTCAGTCGATCATTTTCCATGAAATGACATATCAATAAATTCAAACTTTTGTAGTACGAGGCTTCTGAAGTGACCAGTTCAAACATAGCCTGTAGGAGAATTCCAAAATTGTATTATGAAGTCATGGCTTTGAAATCCTCCATTATTGTTAGTTAACTTAGTTTTATCAGAGGGACAGGGTACAATTTAACAAATCTCTGAATATACAGTACATTTCATTCACTACCATGTCAGCTGCTTCAGAAGAATATAAAGCAATAGAAAATACATATATAAAAACCCATGTAAATAATGGCTGAAGAAATGAGAATGTGCTATGATGGTTTATGCACACTGGAATAAATATGTAGATTCTGAAGACTGCTATTCTGGTCCAGTGATTGGCATCTACACTTACAGCCAGTCCCATAGACTTCTATAGATGTTCATCTATGCAGATGAAACAGAACATCTTGTTGGGAGCTTTTAAGCAGTTGAATCAAAGCTTGTAGATCTAAAAGAGCAATATACTTTTTCTTATGAGTTACAACCTGAAAATATTTTCTCAATGAGATATTTTAGGCTTAAGATGCAAAGCTTCCATTGTTTAGTGTTTTTGTCACACTTTAAATAGAAAAAAATGTCACTCTGTGAATTGATAAGAATTTTAATAAGGATTTTAATTGGAAGGGAAAGGGAATGATTGAACAGTGTTGCAATGGTGAAAAAAATACAGCCTATGAAAAGAAGCTGTGTGAAATAGATTGAAGATAAACATTCCATTTCAGCATTATTACCAGCTTTTAATTATCATGGATTCACATAAAGCAGATAGTTCCTTAATTGCCTAGTATGGGAATACTGTTTCATAACAGAACAGATAAAATGAAGTAGCAAAACATCTGAGAGACAAAGCAAAGAAGATTGTTCATAATTGGGGAAGTTTTCCCAAGCTACCCTTTTCAGAAAATTGTTTAAATATATATGTCACGTTTCTTTAGCACTTCAAATATATATGAAATGGATAGCAAGAATGAATGAATTTACTCCAGCACAATCATCCTAAATAACCAGTACTGAACTGAAAGATTAGGCTGTTTTCCCTTTCTGAATACCATTAAAATATTATCCGTTATTTAATTACCTCATTGTGTTAGTTATACATTGCCTAATATAGTTGGACTATCTATCGACCTACCTACCCTATTACCTATCCTAATTGATACAGCTGCACATATCATGAGAGGTGACGTTGGGTAGTGTACAATGGTCAAGAAAAAAATAATACATGCATAAAAATAACGTTTAAAATGTAAAAATTGGCATTAAGAAATGGCGATAATTAAAAATAAAAATATATACAAACCCTAAACAGAGAGAGCGGAACAATGGAATCATCTAAACAAGTTTCTAGTTCCATAGGACCTCCAGGCCTGATGGTAAAAGCAGATCTTGAGGGACTTTCAGATCATCAAAAGAGATAGAGCTAATTTAATGTTGGTGGAGGAGGGATGTTCCCTAAGGCAGGTACCAGAGCAGAAGGCCTATTGCTTGGGACCCATCAAACATAGATTCCTGGCTGATGCTATCAGCAGCATGCCCTTTCTGCCTAATGGCATGGGTTAATACAATTGGGGAGAGGCGGTCCCCACCTGGTTCCATGCCATGAAGGTCTTTAAAAGTGAAAACCAGCTCCTTGAATTGAACCGAAAAGCAAACTGACAACCAATGCAAATAACAGAACAGAGCAGAGATTTATATATGCTGCCCTAGCATTCTGCACCTGCAGAAATTTCTGAATACTCTTCAAGGACAGCTCCATGCAGTAGTTCCATTAGTCCCATTCTGGGGGTGACTGGGGTATGAGCTGAAGCTGTGCAAAGGCCTTCCTAGGCATGACATCTACTTGGTCCTCAAGCAGGATTCCTGATTGCTCACAGGATCTGCCTAGGGCATCCAGCACCTAGAATTAGTAAGGCTCAAAACCCAGAGCCAGTTAATTTTATCAGAATTCAGCTTAAGCAGGTTCTTCCTGCTTAACTGCTTAGAGAGGGCTATGAAGCGGCATATAAGTCTAAGTGCTATTGCTTCCCATCCAGATCCTCAGAGCCTGCAGATACCTGGATAAGACGTTCATAGTATTGCTCAATTTACAGGGGACGAGATTCATAGTTGGGCATCATCAATGTACTGATGATAGCTCACCTCATGGCAATGAATAAGCTCACTCAGCAGTCTCATGTGCACATACATACTCATATTTTCATCTCACCTTTTTAGACTTACTACACATAAATAATCCTACTTGATTCAGATAAAGGGTGCATATAGTTGCATGTTCAAAGGAAAAATTATCTATTTACAATGCACTGCTGCTCATGGGTTGCATATCTTAACATGAAGACACATCTGCATTCTATTGCAAGTAGTCAATAACTAGAACTTAATCAAAACAAAAGTCTTGCTCCCAGCAATGAAGCTACCAGTACAGGATAGCAAGGCAAGAAATAATGTCCTAGTTTCTATAGCAACAGAGATGCATTCCCTCATTCCTCTCCAATCACACAGAAAGCAACTCAAAATCTTTGTTAACATTCAATGACACTGTCAAACAGCTAAATATAATTGCCTATCTGACACTTGTCATCATTATATTCTGTAGTTGAGACATGCACTATGTATAACACATTGAAAAATGCCAAAACTGGCACAAAACTAACAATATTTCAAACAGGTTTTAAATTGCAATTATCAATTTATCCTAAAAAATTCAGTCATGACTGTGATTTTTTTTAGTTTTAGTGTACTGATGATGACCTAGTTTGGTAATGAAACATCTGCAAGAAAACCAACAAGGTCAAAGAGTACCAAGCACACCACAATTTTTATTTTGTTTTATTATTATTTATTAGATAATATGTGCTGCTCATCTTGTCTAGAGGCTACTCTAGAATTATAAGTGATTATAGAATTTTATATATATAGAATTTTATATATCACATGTGGAATTTTATAAGCTACTCAGAACAACTATAACATGTAAAAATGTTAACAATCATTAGCTGCACTGAACCACAAACTAACCACATTTTAATGTTGGTAAATGTATGAACTTAATCATATGGTTTGCACAGCATCTTATACAAACCCAAAACATTAATTTCTTTTTTTTTTAAATCTTTTTTTAAAACTAGCTTCTTACATAATTGCATAGTTATGAAACAAACTGTAGAACTTTTAATTCCAATGTTAGCAATATATATGCCTCTAAAAATATTCCAGTGAGGTAAAAGAAATCCATCACCTCTCTTGAAGTAAGGATTAATACTAGGATAAAAAAATCAATAGATGAGGTCAGAGTATGACAGGCATGTTCTTAAATAGATTTAATAAACTTATTCAGGTTTTCAGAAGAGAATTAAATATACACTCCTGGCATAGTCCCCAGGGCAGAATACTGATAAGAAATTTAAATGTAATTGTCTAGAATCATTGCAAAAATATTTTCACACGCTAGTAATTAAATTCATGTAATTGTTAGGTGGCTTTTCAAACCATCTCCATTATAGACACATTGTTGGTCATTTCCTCCTTTGTCAGCATGGTACAAGAATCTGAGTAATATCTCTTTTAGCTTGTTTTCCTATTTTTTGCATCATTAAATCAGTCCTATTTAGCACAAGGAAGTCTTGGTGATTAATGTTTTTTTTCCTGTACTTGATGCTCAACGGATGTCTAGATAATTAAACCTATCCATCAGTTATATAGTCATCTTTATCATTATTCAATAATGTTTCCCTCCTTACTTATGTTGAACTAAAATAATTCAACGTGCTGCAGTGTGTCACTGGCAGTTAGCCTAATTTCAAGGTTTACTGAAAAGGTAAAGTCACAGCTACTTCATATACTCTGGTCTTATGCCCAACCTGTTTGGCAAGTCCTTAAAAAGCAAAAAAATATATATGTAGTTTTCAGATAGTATTTGAACAGGCATTTGTCTATTTATGTGATACTGACAAACTCTGGTATCCCTAATTCCAAAGGAACAAATTAGTTTTCTTCTAAGTTCTTCATCCATTATTGAAAACAGAATATACTTTCTCTTCACTTGTGACCTCTTTTGGAATTAAATGAATTCAGCCAGGGCTGATCCCCACCTTACTGGAAACAGTGCTTACATGCCTGTGACCCAAGGATCACACCAGGCAAAGAAGAGTCAAGTAACTTTAAAATACGGGTGCAAAAATGATGTATAGGTAGCTCTTGCAATTGGGACCAGCAATTGGGACCAGGATTGCCATTGCTAACCAATGCAGGGCAACATTACATGACCACATTACTTAGTGACAACAATCCCAGGCAGTCCTGATCACCATCATATCTCAAGACATGTGAATTTTTAAGTGGGAGGAGGTGTAACGTTACAGGTATGGAACTTGGGGGTGATGCAGGAATACCAGTGGTAGGGAGAGGCCAGGAGAGCATCTGATAAGGCTGAGACATACAGCCATACAGAAGCCACAGGAGAGGTTAGCACAAGTTGTATGTGAGAATCACGGGAGGCCAGGAAAGAGTCAGCAGAGGTTATGTATCAGCAGGGACGTGCTCTGGGCAGAAATAAAAATGGGAGTGGCTTATTGGGGTGACTTGCAATTTTCCCTGCCAGCTTCCCCACTGAATTTGATTGTGGTAAGAGGGCAGGGAAGGTTGCAAATGGTGATCACATGGTCCTGGCTATCTGCAACCCTAGAGTTGCAAGCCAGGCATACCAACACTCGGGCTGCAATCATGTGACCTCAGGAATGCTATGATGCCTGGAACTTTGAGGGCTGGTCCTCTATCCATTTTTTCAGCATCCCTGTGCCTTTGAACAGTTTGTGGGTGAATGGCCCTAAGCTGAGGACCATTTGAATGGGGAGAGGCTCTTGATTCAATCAATCACCCCAAAACATATCTTCCAAGCCTACATTTACTTGTTATATCAAATCGTTCACAGCATTTAAAAAAAGACAAAGTGGAGCTTTAATGAAGGAAAAAAACCCCTCTTATTTCATTTCTCACTTCCTGTCTCTCCGTGCCAGATTAAAAATAAGAAAAAGTGAAAATATGTATAGCAAATAACTAATTACAGCTTGACTGGAAACCAACGTGTATCATATACATCTTCATATTTGCGGAGGTAAATTAAGACAAGAGCAGAAAAAGCAACAACGAAAATAGGATTAAAACAGAGCAAACATTGAAATCACTGCAGATGTTCAGGTTCTTGTAAGGAGTCCAGGACAGCCTGGATCATAAGGAAAAGACAGTGATGGGATCTGACTGAGGGCAAGAAAGAAAAAGTCCCCATTCTGCTTGTCCCGAGTCACTGGCAGTTTTCCTGTTCAGATTCATAATTAAGGATAGTTAGGTGGTACTTTTTCTTAGACGCTACCAGCCAATGTGTTTCTATATGGTATTACAAATTACTATTTGTACCTCTGTCTTTCTTGTAAAAACAACAACAAAAAAGACTTTCCGGAAATGGTTAAGAGACCATCCTGGGCAAAACAAACACAGATCTCCACCTATCATGCTTCTAAGCAAGGCCCAGGGCCCTTCTCATCATTCCCAGTCTAGCAAGTCTGGGAAATGTCCAGAAGACCATTTAATTCTTTCTCACTGATATCCTTTGAAAAAGCTTTCACCGCTACATTTAGCTGCCACTGCAGTAAAGCTAATTCTCAAGGTTCGTTTCTCATTGTTCCCTGAGCATATAATCACAATTCTATGTTCTGTATTAAAATAGTCTTCCCTGACTCATTTCAAAATTGCCATAATCTCTCCTGTGTTTATTTGGCAGATTATGTAGAGTTATTATTTAAAAAGAATAGGGTTCTTCAAATCCCAATCTTGGTGACTTCATGGCACATTCATAAATTGTCCTTGCAACATCACAGATATGGTTTCTCATGCCTTCAAATGATGGATGCTTAAAGGTATCATTGTCCCTGTTTAGTCACATCTTATCTGATGAAGGCTGGAATAACATATATAATGGGGAATACTAATGAAAACAACATCTTGTATTTTCTATAGTATCTTTGCTGTTTATATATATACTATATAGTATTTTTGCAAGATTTGATCTCAGTACACCCTTTACTTATATTATTTTAATGTTAATTTCAGAAGAGCATGCAATATTTGAACACTATTTGCAGATGGAAAGAAACTGCAATAGGACAAACCATTCCTAAGCATTAGGCACAAGCTATGTAAATTAAATTATATTTTAGCTCAGATCTGGTTACACTCTGTGTTTATAAAAAAAAAAGTAGCATGCTTCATTTTTTAATTTTAATGAAGGACAGTTTGTGCAGTGATTTAAGTCACCAACGTAGAAAGCAGAAGACTGTGAGTTTTATTCCTATCCTTGACACCACTGGATGAATTTAGGCCAGTCAATCTCTCTGAGCTCTAAGCAGAAGGCAATAACAAATTGCTTGCAAAAATATTTGGAACTGCCTCTTTTGTGCAAGCATAATAAATGTTTTTCATATCTCCCAGATTCTGAACTTGAAATAGCTGAACATTGCTAACCAGAATATTACATTTAATGCAAAATATAAAACCAAGTGTGGAAAGTTCTTAGCTTACGACCACAATTGAGCCCAAAATTTCTGTTGCATAGTGAAATATGTGTTAAGTGAGTTTTGCCCTATTTTATGATCTTTCTTGCCACAGTTGTTAAATGAATCACTGTAGTTATTACAGTAACACTGTTGTTAAGTGAATCTGGCTTCCCCATTGATTTTACTTGTCAGAAAGTCACAAAAATTGATTACACAACCCTGGGACACTGCACTTGTCACAAATATGAGTCAATTGCCAAGTATCTGACTGTTGATCAAGTGACCATAGGGATGCCACAACAGTTGTCCATGTGAAAAACAATCATAAGTCACTTTTTTCAGTGCCAATGTAATTTCAAACAGTCACTAAATGAACTATTGTAAGTCAAGGATTTCCTGCACTGAAGCACAGAGCCAACATTGACTGAGGGCTTCTCATAATTCCTACAGCTGTTCAACTAACTTTAGATCAGCATAACTCTGAGATGTCACTGACTGATGTGTAGTTGATTTGAATATTATGGCTGAAATTGACAATATGTCTGGCAATAAGGTCCACCAAAATCAAGTGAAGTTGATATTAAAAAGCTCACTCTGTCTTTATACTTTTAGAAAGAAGGCTATCTGGAATTAATTTTATAGGCAATGGGAAAGGAATAGTTAAACCTTACACATTATACATAAACCAGAGTAGGGCATTTAATATAGAATAAAATTCTGTTTATAACAGAAATCTTTGCTTCTGCAATAAATTAAAACTATAACAAGTCTATTCTCAATCATAATTTTAAAAATTACACGAGTGACCTAAATTCAATATCTAGAAATAACAATTTTTCAGCTCTTTTACAGGATAGGAATGTGCTGATATGTATTAATCATGATGGCAGAGATTCTCATGATGTGCAATTCAGAGCCCAATAATCATATTCCAAGACTTTGCTACACTAAAGCTATGAGTGAATTTGTGCAAGAAAATAAAAAGATCATGCCAAGAAAGAACAATGACTGAAAAATCCACTGTACAACAATCAATGATTTTAGAATATAGAATATTATATTCAACTTCTAGAGATGGTTTTCTGTCACGCTCCTGGTGGAGACTGACTCCGAGGGAGAGGAGGAACGGCAGTGGTGGGATTCAATTTTTTTTACTACCGGTTCTGTGGACGTGGCAGGGGAAGGATAGTGTAAAATCTCCAGTTGGAGGTGGTATTTGATTTTCCCAATTACTCAAATTTTCCACTACCAGTTCTTCAGAACTAGTCAGAACCTGCTGAAGACCACCTCTGAGGAACAGCCTCAGTGGAAGTATGGCTCGGGAGGTTGTGGAGGAGGCTGGGGAACGGCATAGGCCGGCTGGGCAGTCAGAGGAAGACCCAGGCCCATCCCCTCTCCCTCCTAGGGCACGCAGGGAGGAGAGGATAAGGGAGAGACGTGGTCTACGGGGGAGGAGAGGGCATTGGATCCTCTTCATGGGCTGCAGCTATAACAACTGGATAAGAGGATGGACATGCGTATAAGCCAGTGCTGGAAACAAAGCGTGGAAATACCTCTAGTTTATTGTTCCTCTCTGAGATTGGCATCCTTGCCAGTGTGTGTGTTCTGATATCTGTGGACATCTTCAAGCCCTTATCTTGCCTGGTTTCTGTTGTTTTTTACTCTTTAATTTATAGGCATTTTTAGTTTAAACGGCATTTCCTCCTTCTTGTAACTGCTCGTGTGGGAGTTGTTTGTCTCCAGTCAAGGATATTTGGAGCTTGGAAGCAAAGTGAAGGAATAAAGGGGGTTTTACCTGTTTTTTTGTGACTGTGTTTATTTTCTATTCCACCCTGGCTCATCACATTTTCTAACACTGGTTTCCCTAATTTCTCTTCTGCAGCAGTCTCCAACCTTTGCAGTTTGGAGTCCAGCTTGGGGGTGGGGTGGGCCACTGGACTGCATGTGCAATTGGACTTGCACAAGTTGAGCTGCGTGTGCATGTGCAAGCACGCTGGCCCGCTGCTAACGTGACCAGTTACAAACAGGCCATGACACAGTACTGAGCCACAGCCCAGGGGCTAGGGACCCTGCTGTACTGGAATCAATAATTCCTAAAGTGTTTGTTTGTTTTTATCCTGCCTTTATTATTTTTATAAATAAATAAATAAATCCTAATGTTACTTTCTATCAAACTACTCAGGCTCCGATTTCTGCAATTCTCTGGGTTTGTCTAAAACTTCTTTGCAAAATAGGAAGGGATATTGTGTCAATGGATCAGCATTTTAGTAACAAGTTATATATTTCAATTAAAAGATCATCAACAATGTAACACTCAAGGTTTTAAATGCTTTGGGGTAACTGACTTCATTGACGTCTACTGCTGAATTTGTCAATCAATTCCAATAAGTCCTTCTTTAACTAGTAGATTTTTCTTTTTTAAACAACCTGAGCCTGGACTATGACCTTTACACATTCATGTTACTTATTCACTAGCAGCTCAATCCTGATGGAACAGCTAGAGCCAAGGCTGAGCAGAATCAGAATGTTCTTATTTATTTATTTAAAAAAAAAAAACACGATGAAATTGGTTCAAAACTACATAAAGAAGTAAACATTCTAATAATGTTAAATATTTGTAACTGACATAAATGAGTCAACCAATAGTTATTTCCATGAAATATCAAGAGTGTTTCCCCTTTCTATCTCCTCCCCTTAAGTTGACATTACCTCTTGAAGCTTGATTTCATCTGGCTGGAGAATATTCAGAACACCACTGCTTCTGATTTCTGGAAGATCTTGCCATAAATTGAACCTTGAGGTGGAATTCCTGAGCAAGTTAATCTGGGGGACAGTTTTGTTTTCTAATACATTTGCAGTTTCTGTTTCTGTTGGTGACTCTTCAGTAGTTGAGCCTTCTTCAGTATCTGTCTGGGAATCCTGCAGCCGTCTGGTTTCAATCTCATGACGTGTGGATTTATCTCGATATTCTTGATACAACAAACCTAGAAAGTCAGAGAATGCATAGACTGTTATTGAATTAGCCCCATATTGCATGTGAAATGAAGATGTTTCAGAACTTTCCCTCCTGAGACAAATCCAGAAATGGAAATAACCAAATTGTAGGCATCATATAAAAAAGCAATGCAACTTGAGATAATTGTAGGAGAGTGTATTGCTGAGAACTTCTACAGACTCTGAGACTATATGCTAATCCTCACGGCCATATCAATTTGCTCTTCCTTCATCCCTGAGACTGAAGGAAAGTGCATCAGAGTTTAGACTGATGGTCAACCTTTAATATGTCTCAGCTGCAAGACTGGACACTGATTCTGTTCTTGGACAATTTAATGTAAAATATTTTCAGAGCAGTGATCACTAGTTTCTTCTTTGTAAATTTCCCTTTTTCCTCTTCCCCCAACAATTTAATCGATCATTAACTGTTCTCTGAAATGTGTGTGTTTGGGGATGAGTAAAGGCATGTTCTGCCATCTCTTTTCCTTTGTTTTGTGTTGTTTGTATATTTTTTAAATTGTTCCTTGTTTTTAAGTGTTTTTAACAATCTGTAAACTTTCCAGAGCCATTGGCAGTCAGGTAGCATATATATGTAATAAATTATTATTATATATGCAACAATGTGAAATCATAGTTGCCAGTTCTTTAGTTGGTGTTGGTTTTCATATTCATTGAGTTCTTCCCAAGAACCTAGGATAGCATAATATATTAGTGTTGTATATGTGCAAATCCAAGTAATGTGGCCTTTTGAAAAGAGGGAAATTTTGTCAATTTGCAAATTTTCTAAGTGTCATCCAAGATTTTTTGGTACAACATCCAGTCTGATGATAACCACTGGAACCTCAACAGCCAATGTACAGGTGAAGCTCGAAAAATTAGAATATTGTGCAAAAGTTCATTTATTTCAGTAATGCAACTTAAAAAGTGAATCTAATATATGAGATAGACTTATTACATGCAAAGCAAGATCGTTCAAGCCATGATGTGTCATAAGTGAGATTATGGCTTACAGCTCATGAAAACCGCAAATCCACAATCTCAGAAATTAGAATATTGCTAACAGGTTCATATTCTAGGCTCAAGGTGTCCCACTCTAATCAGCTAATTAAACCATAACACCCGCAAAGGGTTCCTGAGCCTTTAAATGGTCTCTCAGACTGGCTCAGTAGGAATCATAATCATGGGAAAGACTGCTGACCTGACAGTTGTGCAGAAAACCATCACTGACACCCTCCATAAGGAGGGAAAGCCTCAAAAGGTAATTGCAAAAGAAGTTGGATGTTCCCAGAAGTGCTGTATCAAAGCACATTAATAGAAAGTTATGTGGAAGGGAAAAGCATGGAAGAAAAAGGTGCACAAGCAGCAGGGATGACCGCAGCCTGGAGAGGATTGTCAGGAAAAGGCCATTCAAAAATGTTGGGGACTTTCACAAAGAGTGGACTGAGGCTGGAGTCAGTGCATCAAGAGCCACCACACACAGACGGATCCTGGACATGGGTTTCAAATGTCGTATTCCCCTTGTCAAGCCGCTCCTGAACAAACAACGTCAGAAGCGTCTTACCGGGCTAAAGAAAAATAGACCTGGTCTGTTGCTCAGTGGTCCAAAGTCCTCTTTTCTGATGAGAGCAACTTTTGCATCTCATTTGGAAACCAAGGACCCAGAGTCTGGAGGAAGAATGGAGAGGCACACACTGCAAGATGCTTGAAGTCCAGTATGAAGTTTCCACAGTCTGTGTTGATTTGGGGAGCCATGTCATCTGCTGGTGTTGGTCCACTGTGCTTCATTAAGTCCAGGGTCAACGCAGCCGTCTACCAGGTGATTTTGGAGCACTTCATGCTTCCTTCTGCAGATGAGGTTTATGGTGATGCTGACTTCATTTTCCAGCAGGACCTGGCACCTGCCCACACTGCCAAAAGCACCAAAACCTGGTTCAATGACCATGGGATTACTGTGCTTGATTGGTCAGCAAACTCGCCTGACCTGAATCCCATAGAGAATCTATGGGGCATCTCCAAGAGTAAGATGACAGACATGAGACCAAACAATGCAGAAGAGCTGAAGGCCATTATTGAAGCATCCTGGTCTTCAGCAGTGCCACAGGCTGATAGCTTCCATGCCATGTTGCATTGAGGCAGTAATTGCTGCAAAAGGGGCACAAACCAAGTACTGAGTACATATGCATACTTATACTTTTCAGAGGTCCGATATTGTTCTATGTACAATCCTTGTTTTATTGATTGCATGTAATATTCTAATTTTCTGAGATTGTGGATTTGGGATTTTAATGAGCTGTAAACCATAATCATCACAACTATGTCAAATCACGGGTTGAACTATCTTGCTTTGCATGTAATGAATCTATCTCATATATTAGTTTCACCTTTTAAGTTGCATTACTGAAATAAATGAACTTTTGCACGATATTCTAATTTTTTGAGTTTCACCTGTATGCCATGATCTTCCAACTTCAATTTTCCAGATCTTAATCCTTTGTGATCTTCTCCAGTTCTACTATCCCTTGGAATTGCCACATTGATTACCTGTACATTCTTCTTTTCCACCAATTAAATCTGGTGTGTTATAAGCCAAGAGTTTATCAGAAATCACATGATATTTTAACTTGACTACTTTATCAACTATATGTTGCCACCCATTTTTCTTTACTGGCACATGGTAAATTTTACAGATGTTCCAGTAAATCATTTTGGTGACTGTATTTGTTGTTATTTATAATCATTGTTCGTTGTTATTTATTATCAATTTGTGAGATCTTCTTGCACAAGCTGAATATATGAATGATATTTCTTCTGCTTCTTTGGAAGAATTGCACTTTACAATTCTGGCTTTAATTAAATTATTTTAAATAACTTGCTCTTCAACAACCAAAATAAAGTCTTCCGTTTCTTCTTTTTTAATGTTCCACTTACCAGGTATTATCTTTATCTACTTTTTGCTCATTTTTTTGTAGAAATTGACCATGTAATGCTTTTCCTTGCCAGCATTCTGTTCTTTATTACATTATTTCAATATTCACATTTTGTCTTTTTTATAATCAGCCAATGCATGCTGTTCTTTGACTGTATGTTTGACTTGAAGTAAATCTTTGCCTCCATTTCTGCAATGTAGGTATAATCTATCAATATTACTACAAAGTTGTAACACATAGTAAATAGTCACTAGTTTTCTTGTTTTTTGCTCCAAACTATCCAGTGCAGTTTGTGTCCAGTTAATAATTCCAGCAGTGTACAATATCAGGGGTATGGTCTAGGTATTGATGGCTTTGATGGCCTTTCCATCTATTTTGTCTTTACTAATTTTCTTGTCTAAAATGTTATTTATCACATTTTAACTTGTTCATGCTTCATATTATCCAACTTTAAAATGCCCAGACAGGCTTTATCCTAATGGCTCCTGATGGTTTGGCCCCTCGGCATTTCAATTCCATTACTGTTTGTGATTTCACCTTGATTTATTGTTACTAAAGCACATTTCTCTAGGCCAAATCCATTGCTAGATCCATGCTAAAAATTCTTAGGATATTTGTCAATGACTAAATTTCTATTTCTGATTTTTCATAAAGCTATAGAATAGATCATCCATATAAAGCAAATTATTTTATTAAACATACATATACATACATACATATATATACATGCATATATATATGCTTTATTGCCATTTTTGTTGTTTGATAGCCAAGATTTATTTTTCTTTAAAATAACTGAAATCGGGATCATAACAATAATAAATAACAAGGGTGATAATGAGTCATTCTGGAAGATGCTTCTCCTATTGTTGATAAGCTCACATTAAGTTCACATTTTTCAATTTTTCAATTCTGTCTTCCATTGCTTCATTATTTTTTCTATAAATATTCTAATTTTTTTTACTGACGCCACCTGTTTCCGAACCTTTGATGGTCCAACTATGTGGTAATTAATCAAACAGGCTTTTTATAATGATTCCACACTATATGTAAATTGGTTTTTTGCCTTTTGCAATGCTCCAAAACAATTTTATCGATCAGAAGTTGATCTTTTCTGTATTTCGTTTTATTTCATTTCTTTTCTACTGGGATTTGAAATATTAGAATACTGCTATTTTCTTCAAAATCAGGACTGTCAACCTGGCAGCCTATAGGCTGTATGTGTCATGCACAGGCCAGGCCCACCCCAGCTCTGCAAAGGGGGAAAACGTTGCGCTATGTCACATGACAGCAACCTGATGCCCTGAGTTTGACATGTCCAAGAGTAATTTATACATTTTAGTCAAGCATGTTATTGGCTTATAATTTTCTGATTGTGTCTTTTTTGCTGGATTGTTTTGGATTAGCTTTGCCACTAACCAATCTCAGATGTCTCTTTTATGCAATACTTCATTAAGCTGTTTAGTTATAATTGAATGTAAGCTATCAGATATTTGAACCAAAAGCCATGCAATTGATGATTTCTAGGAGATGTCCAGTTTTTAATTCTTTTCACTCCACTTCTGCTATTATTAGTTTTTCCATTTGATTTTTACTAAATTCATCTTTAATTTTTTTATCCATCCAGAAAATGTCATATCTGCAAAGAAGCTGAAGAAGTAGTGGACCATCTAGTTAGCCATTGCAAGAGGATTGCATAGATTGAATACAAACAATGGTGTGACAAAGTAGCAACAATGGTACATTGGAACATCTGCAATAAACACCATTTGCCTGCAAGCACGAACTGGTGGGACCAACAAAATAGACAAAATAATAGAACAGGAAGAAGTTTAAGTTCTCTGGGACTATAGAATTCAAACAACAAATATCTGCCAGCTAACATCCAAATCTAAAACTGTCAATATGAAAAACAAAAAAGTCTGGAACTTAGTATTAAGAGGGAGCTGAGTCAGCACAGTGGTGAATGTCTTCTTGGGTGAGGGGCTGGAATTTGAAGGAGGAGGTAATGTACCCCCTTCAAGAAGCCACTACTTGGCATGGGTATTTTTGATAACTACTGGCTGGTCTCCATACTGTTATTCTGGGAGAAGATTGCTCAGAGGGTAAAAGGGTCTGGAGTTAATCACCATGTCACCATGATTTATTGAATAAAACATGGTTGAGTTTGCAAGAAACTCAGAGACAAAATGAATAAAAAGTAAATTACAGCTTAGAATATTATATGAACCCCATTTAAGGATATACATGAGTGAAAGACAGCAGATAAAACAGAAATAAGCATATAAATTTGATTTGAGGAATGGAATTTGGTGCACCATTTTCTATTAAGTATTTTGAATTAGGTTTAGAATATTTCCAAACAAGTCCTCTCTTACATACAAAGGATTTGTAACCGTAACCAAGCAATTCATGCCAACATCCAAAACTCCTTTCTTCCATAAAGTTACAATTTTATTCTTTGTAATTACATGTCTAATTGTAACATTCTTACTCTTACATAAAAGATAACTTATTTTCCTGGCACAGAATAGGGATGAAACTTCCTGTTCCCACCTATCAAATTCAACGTAATCTGATTTAGAATTACACAGTCACATGAAGAAAAATTATATAGTGAACATTTTTTAAGATCTCACAATTCCAAAACTATGAAGAAATTCAGTAATATTAGTTGTTTTCTGCTCGAGCAAAATATGAAATAAAACTGCAACAAAATCACTGCATTAAAAAAGCCAAAGTGAAACATTACTATTTAAATAAGCCAAAACTACATAAAAATCTACCATAAGCAATCAATTAAGATTTTGTTGTATGTTTAACGCGTTCAAATTTAACCTAGAACAATTTTGGACCAGTCTTGTGTATGTTATGAAATGCTGCAGAAATACCAGAACCTTCCCTTCACAATTAACATCAAAGACCACTGAAAACATCAAATACAAATTAAACATATGACATCATCATCGATTTTCATCTTTCTTAGAAACTGCAGAAATTTGGCACTGAATTTTTATTGGCCTCGCTCTATAGAATGAAATCATGCAGTATGCATCACTGAAAATATGAAGATATGTCCATCACCATATAAATGATGTTTCAAACAAATCTAAATGTCAATCTCAAAATTCTAAAAGCACTCATTCTAAAGTCATTCAAATTTCTGCTAGGTTTTTGTGAAGTTCCCTCCGTTTTAAAGTTTAGCAATGCTTAAATAATTTTCTTTTTCAATTTTATAAAGTGTTGAATTGATATTTTATATTTAAATACAGATTTTAATAAAGATTTACATTTATTTGAAGTTGTAAGCATTTATTCAGGAGTTACTTGTATAGATCAATGCATAGCACTAACATTGTACATACAACGTAACTATGTTTAGAAACATGCATAGATTGTCACAGGAAAGTCACCAGAAAAAATGGTTTCTTCCAAATTGTAAGTATATGCCGCAATTACTTCGTTTCTGGAACACTAGTCAAAGTGAGATTAAAATAGCAGTAGGAGAACTGTATCTTGGAAACCGTGCTAGCTTCCCACATGTAACTGAGAAAGAGAAATTGCTTTTAGAATGATACATAATGTCCCTTGAACTACGTTTTTAAAAAAATGTATTTTCAATACTTGTTGAAAATCAACTTAATAATCAAGATTTTCCTTAGCATTAATATAAATTAACCGAATAGTGAAAGATGGGAGATAAGAAAATTATTTTGTGCTTGAAGGTGAATATAAATGAAGTTAATATATAATGCTTTGGTATAAAGGGCAGCAGCATATATTAAAAGTGTTTTATATTGTTGTTGATGTGTTTCTGCTGCAAATTAATAATACAAATTATCTTCAGCCATTCAAATGGTATTTTATCTTTTACAAATTAGTTTTGGGCTTATCTCCTTCTCTGTATGTTGTTCTGCTTCAAAACAGTCATTCAGAATCAACTTTTCCTCATCTCCATCCAATAAGGCATCTAAACTTTTATCTGCACAAATTTGTGACAGCACAGAACCGGAACAATTCAAAGGAAGCCTATATGTGGTGAGAGCTGCAGGGATAGGGGTCAAAAAAGGCAAGATGGCAGCTGCAACCTTGCAATCATAGCCCCACCCCTTTTTTGTAGTGGCCAGCAAACTCGACTTTTTGGAATCCTTCCCTTATTCCTTTTGCGTATCAACTGATATTGCACGTGTCCTGTAGATGCCACATGCGAAATATAACAAGCAAGCAAATAAATAAAAGCGTCTGCCCAACGCAGCTCACAGTTCTCGGGGTTGCACGGGAAGGGTCCTCTTACCTATTTCCTCAATGAAATTCTTCCAAGAGTCTGCGGTCATGGGGTGAATCATCTGCAGAGCTTCGGGGAAAGCAGCCGGGCAGTCAGTCTGCTCAGGGGTCTCTTCCGGAAAAGAAGTTGGCCCCGCCATGGAAGGGGATTCGCTTTTGTAGACGGAGGAAGAGAAGGAAACAATACCGCTTGAGCGTCAGTATCTCTTCCGAGCCTCTTTCCCAACCTTTGCCCGGAATCCCCGCTTTCCCCAAGGCAGCGACTAGCCGGGCTGTAAGTGTTTGCGGAATTATGGCAAATCAAAGTGAGTTTATCGGGGCTTCAGGCATCAGCCCCCCGGCTGTCCTTCCTCGTCGCTACCTGTTAAGAGGCATAAGCTCTCCGTAACTACAAGTCCTCCGCTCTGGTCTCCGGGGCAGGAGGAGGACTCGAGTATTCTTTCGCGGAGGAAATGTAACCGCGCTAGACGCGGGCAAACGAAAAAGGAGGGAAGGTAGCCAAGCGGGGGCGAGGCTCCATAGACGGCGGAGTTAACTCTTGCGCGCCCTTTGGGGGCTCAGAGAGAGAACTAGGGGTCGGAGAGAGCCTGAGGAGACCCGGCGTCGGCCAGCTGGCTCGGGGCGACAGAACCTCCCCTTTCCCTGCGGGAGTCAGCCGGGCCAGAAAGCAAACTGAACTTCGGGAGCTTTTACCAGGAAAGGCGCAGCAACCGGAGTTCGCGCTCCGGAGAGAAGAAGCGAGCGGCGAGGCGCGTCTTGGCTGGGGCAGAAGGGGCGCCCCCACCGAGGACGCGCGCCCCCATCTCCCTATTTTGAATCCCTCACCTGCCAGCTGGGCGGCCTGCGGCCACGCTCTCGGCGGATCCTTCGTGGTCCAAGGCGCAGGCGGCGCTGAGCGCGGCAGCCAGCAGCTCCATGCGAGGCGGCGAGGAGGACGGCAGCAGCAGGAGCGATTCCGGCAGCGGGCGGCGGCGGCTGCTGCTGCTGCTGCTGCCGAGCGATTCCGCAGCAGAAGCGGGACCGGGGAAGTCCGGGCGGTTGCCACAGTAACCGGGGTAGGAAGAGAGCAGCCTGCGCAGGAGGTGGGGGAGGAGAGAGAGCGCGAAAGATCGGTGGCTGGGGGGGAAAGAGGCAGCCGCCGCCCCCTCACACTTTCCCTTGTTTTGTACGAGTACTTGTACAGCTTCCAGGCACCCACTTCTTCCGCCGAAGTGGAAGTTGAAACACTTTTCCTGAATACCTGATTTGCTAAACGACCGGGAGAGGTCCAAAGGTCTCCTCATAGGGGAGCGCCGGGGTTCGTCAGCAGAGAGTTTTCTAAAAAAAAATCCCTCCGTTTTCCTGCACGAACTGAATGGTTGTTTACTTTCAATAAAATAAAAATATAGGAAGCAAATTGCCAGCTTCTACCATTATGTATTTTCATTTCCCAAAATAAACCCATCTCAGCTACTTTCAAAGTGCAAAATACACTTATTTATAAAGAATGGGCCGTAATGGTTTGGGATTCCTAATCGTTGTTGGCATTACATCGTGGGAAAACATGGAACCAAAATAGATTTGTCTGTTTTCGTGGAATCCAGCATGGAAAGACCCATAAGAATCACATATCTGATTAAATCTGGGGCTGATAGAGGACAAAAAGTGAATTCAAAACACCCAATTCTAATAGATAATCTCAGTTTTTCATGAACCACTTGAGCCTATTGTAAAACCACAGATAACATATGTTTATGGAAAAAGAGCTGTCATAGCCATGTACTTGGGGCATGGTTATGGAGGTGCAGAACTAGCACAAAACCCTGAATCTGATGCACAGATCCTCACAATTTTACAAGACTGGGATTCACTGCAACAACTACAAATCATAATCCATGTCCCCATTTGCACCTAGCCACAGCACAACCATGCAGTGGTAAGAGTTATGTTTATTCTTATCCCATGACATCATCTTAATCTAGGCAACAAGTTAAGACAAAGCTTAAGTCATTTATAGTTGTACTCCAGCCTCAAGGTGTACAAAATATTAGCTTTGTGACTAGGAACGAGCTAACAGAGACTGGAGATGAAGATAAGAATTAGGAAGGACAGCCAACGTAGGTAGGAGTGAGCAGATAGTGAGGGAAATATCCATCCAGCTTGAAAGGACCTCAGAGTCCTTTCAAGTCCAGCCTCCTCTTTAATGCAGAATTCACCACACAATGTTGGCTTTTCAGCCTTTCTTTGAAGATGTCCACTGAAGGACATGATACTAAGCACTCCATAAAGTGAGAAGTTGCTTTGAACAGTGAAATGGACAGCACATCAATTTGACAATATTCTATTCCACTGGTTGAAAGTTTTTACTATGAGGAAAATTCAAATCTGAATTTATTTCATTACGGTTTCAAACCGCTGGTTCTGGTTTGGTTCTTCAGAATGACAAATAACAAATCTTGCCTGCTCTATTAAAAAAACTTTAGATAACTAAAGATTGCAGTCATAACTTAGACTAAATGTACCCAGTTCCTTTCACTATTCCTCCTAGGACTTAATTCCTGGTCCTCTGATCTTGGTAGACATCCTCTGAACTTGTTCCTTGTCCATTATAGACTGCAGTGCCCAGAACTGGATCTGGAACTGAAAATAGTGCTTGGGCAAAGCAAAGTAATACATGCCAAAATAATTTTCGTCATATCCTGTCAAGAATAAAAGAGCTAATAAAATAAAAGTTACATAAACCCAACCCATCTTTCTGATATTGTCTATTCTTGCTGAAAAATGTGTAGGATAATGGTGGAAGACATATATAGATAATTGTTGACTTTCAACCATTTGTTTGCTGACCATACAAAGCTACAACATCACTGAAAAATGTGACTCATGACTATTTTTCTATAACCGTTGCAGTAGCCCTGTGGTCACATGATCAAATTTGGGCATTTGGTCACTGGTTTGTATTCATTTATTTTATTTATATTTCATATTTCTTAAGCGCCCACCTCCCTTGGAGAAAAACTATTTATTTGTGAGGGCTGCAGTGCCCCAGGGTCATTTGATCACTTTTTGCAACCTTCTGATAAGCCAAGGCAATGGAGAAGGAAGCCAGATTCACTTAACAACCAGGTTACTTGCTTAACAAGTGCCGTGATTCACTTAAAACTCTAGCAAAGAAGGTCATAAAATGGGGGAAAACTCACTTAACAACTGCCTTAGCAATGCAAATTTTGGACTCAATTGTGGTGTAAGTTGAGGACTACCTATACTACTTCTATAAATCTAGAAGTTTTCTTTCTCTGCTGTGAAACTGACTAGAAGAGATAAAGCAGGAACTTGCTAGAAGTTTGTAAAATGAATACAGATGAGCATTCACAGATGAAATTCAGTAAATGGAAATTTATAGGGGAACTTAAGTGGACTTGACAGAATCATTTGTTCTGGCTACCTGGAAGGAGGGGAAGCCAAACCTCACAGTCTGTCAAGCGGTTTGTAACAGGAGTACACTTATGAACAAGCATAATTAATTTTACAATATTGTTTCTGTGCAGATCTATATGCTGCAGACAAATGGTATTTTAAAAAAATAAGTTAACAGGAATTGGAGCTTATGTTTAGTTTGATAACTTTTAACCTTATTGTAGTTGTTTGTGGTTCACCATTTTGTGCAACCAAACCAATTTAATTGGCTTATTATTATTCAATGTATTGTACAAATACAGAAAATAGATTATTTCCATAACCAAATTAAATATGTTGTCTTTAACAAAATTAAATAGTTTGTGCAAAATCAACTTTATATGTTGTAGCACCTTGTGCTCACATTTTCACATTTGAAAAATATTGCATTTTATTCAATATTGTGTGTTTCCTAGGTAGCAATTTGATTTATAAAATGCAAGTTGATGCCTGAAACACAAAAGGTATTTCAGCACCAATCTTGCAAAATTGTCTGATGGAAATTTTATGGAGATGAATGACATGTGTTTTGTTGAGCAAAGTCTAGGTGATCAGGACAACAGCATGCATTTGTCTTTGTATTAGTTTACCACCCACCATAATACCCAATATATATGAGAAATATGCATTTCATTTCTTCATCTATGCACTAAAGCAGTGGTAGTCAACCTGGTTCCTACTGCCCACTAGTGGGCATTGCAGCTTTCATGGTGGGCGGTGGGGGTTTTGTCCCCTACTTTATAAATCACCATTTCTGTGGAACCGGTGGGCAGTTAGAAAATTTTACTACTAACAGAGATACAAAAGTGGGTGGTAGGTATAAAAAGGTTGACTACCCCTGCACTAAAGCATGCTTAATGGCTACATTATATTTTTATAGTGCACAATAATAGGAATTCTCTAATGCATAGCATCACTATTTTATCATTCCAAATGTAATTTTAACAAATATTTTAAAAATTTCTACAATGTAGAGAATTGCTCAGTATTTGCTGGGTTGTTTTTTTTACCCAAATACTAACTATTTTTGATTCTACTTAATTTTCAGTTGTGCTGTAACCCAGTTGTGCTAAATGCAGTCTGTTAGCTGGAAGAAAACTAAGTTGCATATTCTATGCCATCTCTAGTCAATCTCAAAATATTTTTTCAGAGAACCCAATCTAACTAATTTCATAACCAACTTCACCATGCGGTTAGAATTTTCCCCACATATACTTCCTCCAAGTATCATAATTTTGCAACATATTGAATTTGGCAATAAACAAAAATTTAAAATTTAAAAATATGCAAGAGACCTTTAGTAAATGGAATGAAAGAGAAAATGAATTTAGAGGAAAAACAGTAGAAGAGCTTGGTGCATATTCATCCTAGCTTAGGGCTTTTACTATCTTATGGAACGGGGTATATAGGTACAAACATTGGTGATGCCTCCTCCATGACTAGGAAACCTTACCTGCAGATAATTAAACCACAGGCAAGAACAAAAGGGAAACTTCAAGAAATGATCACGAAATAATGGCCAGGAAGTTGGGAATATATCCCTCATTAGTAAAACTGTGTACTGAGATTTTTCTCTAAATTGAATTGAACCCACTGTCTCACAATGCCCCATGTTTCAATCTATAGAGATATTTCAAAAGGATATAACGATTAAGGTTGCAACAATCACTGAGAGGTTTTCCACATGCATAATACACCTATTTACTTCCCAAATTGCGTGTGACTGCCCTACTAAGATTGAACTCATAATCACACAACTTTCTCAGAATAGCGCACTGTTCCATCATTAAAAGATGGTATTAAAAAAGACACCTAAAGAGGCATAGATATGACTTTGAATGGGAGCCTAAGGTTTTTTCGTGCAGTCAAGATAATAAATGTTAGGGTTATCATGGATATTCTTATAAACTAAACTATTTTATTATTAATATATTAAATTGTTTCTTATATAGTTTGCCATTTACTGCCAGATCATTAACCCATTTCTGTGTTCTCCATTTTTTGTGTTAGAGAGATTCTCCATGGTCTCAACCAATTTCCTTTTATGTTTCTCAGAGGTATTGAGATGACAGACTATATGGCTTTTAGATCAGATCCAGCAGTGCAATTATTATATTCATTTTCTTAATTTTTTTACGTGCTGCAGTATAGAAGGGGAGTTATTTTCATTTATTCCTTATTTTAGCACATATTAGGCATTTATTTTTATACAATGAAAATTAAGAATTGAATCCACTCTTTTCCATCAACGTGGAGGCATCCAGATATAAACTACATAAAGACACATCTATTACTGGGATATTAGAATTCTAGTAATTACTCCCATTTTCTTTTTGACATTATTTGTTCCATAGATTTACCAGTTCTGCAGAGATAGTTCCCTGGAAAAGAGTGGATGAAATCCTTCCGGAATTGGATTTAGGTAAAAGAGAGGTGCAGATGACAACTCCTTTAACCCATACAACCTTTAGAGAACATTGGAGGGAAATTGTGGAACTATACAGCTAACCCTTTCCCAATATTGATGCGTGTCATGGCTACACAGTTATAATTATGGCAGAAACATGTTATAGCATGTGTTCCTTTACTCAACACATACAGTGATACATACATATTATGATCCTTATATGAGAGGGGATTCTGATTTGGCCAACTTCTTCCACCACATGTGGAATTCTTGACATGTATTAATGTTTATAGACAAACTGTTTCATCATGCTGTCTAAATATACTAGAATAATTTCTGACAGAGTTTAAAGTTATATGTGATTATTACATACAGATTTGGAATTGAGAGAGAGTCTATGGACCTCTCTTATATGTTTCTCCAAGAGAGTCGGTGGACAGGGTGAACCTCCTTAATATCCTTTTTACTTCACAGATATTTTTCAAGCATTGCTTTGCTTTTATTGTGCTATTTTTCAAATGAATGCTTATAATTATTCTTCCACAGCTATTTAAATTAGGTTGGAGGGTTTAAATATATTCCATGTTAGAAA